GAACGCCGTGCGATGCTTCTTCAAGCTTATGCCGTGCGATTGGAACGAAATTTAGGAAAAAAATTTGCTTGAACTATTGAGGGCTGATAGAGTAAGAATTAAGAGCTGAAATTTCCTTAAGGAAAGTGGCAAAAATTGCCCACAAGCCCTCTTTATATAGATGGCCGTGGAGGTGCTAAGGCCACGTAAGTTTAATGTGGCTTCCTCTACTAATGCCACTTGCTACAATTTGGGGTATAATGGGATGACTAAGCTTACTTAATAGTTGACAAGTTGCGACAATTGATTGGCTAATAAACCTTACTTCATGCTTAAGAAATGGCTTACGAACACTTAGAAAATTTTTGGGAAAAAAATGATCACAATAATACGGCAATTAGGGCTTCTTTAGCTAATTAATGTGATTAATCCCAATTAATCACTCAAATGATGTTTAATTGTTAAATTAAACATACTACTTAATTACCAAAATTATTTCGGACGTAAACGGTACGCCGAAAATAGATTTCGGTAATCCGACTGAACTTAATTAATTCCGAAAATAATAAACGATAACGTTACTATGTCGGAATTAAACGTAATTTATACTGATAATATCTCGGGATATTACAGTTTGTAACCGTTAGATTATCATGTAACCGTCGGGGATAGTTGATCTAACGGTTACAAACCCCAACAGAGTGGTTCCGTAATTGGACCGTAGCATCTTCCATAAATATAATCATAACGGTCATAATATTTAGGTTGTTCAACCCTGTTCATAACAAAGTGACGCAACCATGTCGTTTCACCAAATTAAGCGATCAAATTGTTTTATAGATATATTGGCTAAAAAAATTAACTTAAATTGTGGAATGATTAAATATAGGCTCCTGATACTATTATTATTCGATGACATAAAAAATAATAATATTAAATTTAAGTGCCTTATGAGATAATAATTTGGGTTAAAATTATTTGTGGATGAAATCTCCAAAACTGTGATAGTTATAAAAAGGGCTCTAATCCCCGTCGCACTTTGTCTTAGCAGTAGTTAGGCTTCGGCCCCCTTTATTGTACAAAAAAAAAAAAAAAAAAAAAAAAAAAAAAAAAAAAAAAAAAAATTAAGGTTCTTTCCTAAGATGTATTAGAAGAAAAACCGTTCCTCTTCTTTTCATCAGTTTTCTTCATCATGTCAGAAGATGAGAATTTTTTGGTGCACAACTTTTAGAAGTTTTACATACAAATCCCAATTTGAGTTTCAAGGGAATCAATTGTAATGAATCCATCGGTACGCTTTCGTTTATCAGATTTGATTCTCGATTATTCAATATAAACATTCCTAGAATAAAACGACGTAATGTAATATTTTTTATATAGTTTCTATCATTTCGACAAAAAAAAATAAAAATAAAAATAGTAACATTTGACTTTCATTTATTAGTTTATAATTTACTAGTGTTTTGTTGGATGTGTGGAGTTAAGAGGTGTTTTGGTTAATGGCACACCATCTACGGGTGAAACAAGCTCTCCCTGTTATTTCACTTCTGGTCGAAGCATTATGATCAGGAGATCCACTTAGATAAAGAAAAAGCAAGAACAATATATATTTACAAAGCATATGGCCTATATGTTGTATATAAAAAGGCTATTGCTTTTAATTTAGTTGTGTCCCCACCTCAAAATGGAGACAAAGATGCTCTCATCAATCAGTTTTTTAAAAGCTCACTCTTTTCATTTTCCCTCTTTTCCAATGCATATTAATTTGCATATATAATGAGTTTATTAAAATAACTCGCAAATTATAAATGCAGAATCGTTGACTCAAGTCGTAAGTAACTTGATGTCACTTAAGTAAGAACTCGGATTCCTTGTGAATGTAGAAAATCCTTGTTCGAAGACTCATCTGCCACTACCAGGTATGCTAACAGGATCGACCAACAGATTAGTGGAGACATAGCTCCGATTACCGTGGCCGACTGCCAAAAAAAATTATAAATGCAGAATCTGAAACCCCACTTTCATGTAAATAAAAAGAATTCTCTTCGAATCAAAATCTTCCACTCTTAAAGAAAATGCCTTCCTTTTCTTTTGATTGGATCATTCATAGAAAATGATGACAATCAATCCAAGCTATCTTCATATAAAGCAAACAGAATTATTATTGCTTTTGTTAGTCAATTATTGAATTGTTCATTATAATCTTTTTTTTAGCTAGTCAAGATATCCAGAGTTATGCCCTGACTAATTCGTTGGTCGACTCGGGTCGCACGCCTGACAGTGGTGGGTGAGTTTTCCAACAAGGGTTTTCTGTATCGACAAGGACTCGAACCCGAGACCTTGCTTAAGCGGCATCAAGTTGCTTACCACTTGAGCCAACACGGACCAACCCGTGTTGGTTGCTCATTATAATCATTTGATTGGTTGAAGTTGAAAGTGTTGACTTTATTTCTGTACAAGATGTAAATTTTTGCTGGACTATTATTATTGTCAACCCTATATACAGTGTATAGAACATATAGAATTTTATAGTTAATTCAATTCACCCTATAATTAGAGAGCCTCATATATCAAGCTGCTCCTTAATCTTGATGGGATCATTATTTTCTCCTTGGTCGTTATTGTCCTTGCCGGAAAAAAACTTGCAGCAGTCGAATTTGCAAGGGTCGGCCTCGATAAGGAGCTGTACCACCTCGTTCATAGCTGGCCGTGAAGCCGGATTTCGGCACGTGCAACGTATTGCGATCTTGAGGACTTTAATCATGTCCTCTCTGTACATGCCCAAAACGCGCTTGTCCAACACAACAGCGGCCTCTTCTTTGGTCTCGACTTTAGTTGCGACCCAATATATGATGTTCTTGTTGTCGCCGAATTCTGGCTCGACCGGCCTTTTCCCCGTCAGTAGCTCCATTAATACCACGCCGAAGCTGTAGACGTCGCATTTGGTAGTCGCCTTGGAAGTATACGCGTATTCTGTAATCATAATGCAGCACAATAGGAAAATTAGCAAAATGCGGATTAATATCAATTTTTTTGAACATTAAATTTATAATTACCAGGCGCCAAATAGCCGTATGTTCCGGCAACAAGAGTGGTAGTGGCAGAGTCCTTGGACCCCCTGGCCTGCAGCACCTTAGCTATCCCAAAATCGGCCACCTTAGGCAAATAATCGACGTCCAACAATATATTAGTCGACTTAATGTCCCTATGCACGATGGGCGGCATGAGATCATGGTGCAGGTAGGACAGGCCTTGTGCCACCCCAAGTGCTATCTGGTGCCTTATCGGCCAATCCAAGAATCCTTTCCCCTCGTGAAGAGCATCCCACAAATTCCCATTCGTCATGTACTCGTAAACAAGCAAGCTACAGGCAGGCCCCGCGAAATAGCAGTAGAGCTTCACGATGTTCTTGTGACGCACGCTCCCTAGCGTCTCCACCTCCGTCTTCAGCTCCCTGTCTAGAACCTCTGTCACATCATCATCATCAATACATTTTTTATTATTACTATTATTATTGTTGTTGGTGTTGGGTGCCCATAGCTTCTTGACTGCGACAGTCTCCCCACTGTTGAGCTCGATTCTGTAGACGGCCCCAGACCCTCCATACCCCACAATGTTCTTGTCCACCATGGCGTCCAAAATCTCGCGCTGATCGAAGCTCAGGCGGTGGAAGCTCTTCACGTCGTATGAGGCGAATCCATTTTCGTAATAAACCTGCTGCAGCTTGTTTTTCCGGTACCACGTCCTGAAAAGCAGGACGGCTCCAATCACAAGGATGCAGACGGACACTCCTACGGCCCAAAGCGAATTACTCGTCCTCCGCCTGTCCGGGAAAGCCGAAGGGCAAATCGGAAAATTCGCTCCTGACGAGGTGGTGGTGTTCCCATATGTGGGCCCCAGGCAGAGGCCCGGGTTTCCTGTGAAGCTCTCCAGGACACCGCCGTTAACCAACGGGAACGGGACCTCGCCTGAGAGCCGGTTGTTGGAGAAGTTGAGGGAATTGGGCAGGAGCCTGCTCAGGCTCCCCGGGACATTTCCAGTCAGGCAGTTGCTCGACAGGTCCAGCACGTTGAGGGATTTCAGGTTGGAGAGGGACTCGGGTATATTCGAGCTCAGCTCATTGTTCTGCAGCATCAACAGATTCAGCGATTTAAGGCTCCCAATCTCCCAGGGGATAGGGCCTGATAAGAGGTTTGCGCTTAGGTCGATTTTAACCAGATTAGTGGCCCGAGCTATCTCTCGTGGGATTCTGCCCGAAATCCGGTTCCCGTGCATGAAGAGCTCCGACAAGTTCTTCGCGGCCCGGATGTCCTCCGGTATTGGGCCCGTTAAGTTGTTTTTCTCGACATCAATGATGGACACATGGGGCAGGGCAAATATTCCCGGCGGTATCTTCCCTTCCAAATTATTACTGCTAACACGAAACCGTATGAGGGACTCACACTCGGCATAGGAGGCTGGAATCTCCCTGGACAGGGAATTCTGGAGCACAAGGAGGAACTTGAGCTTGCCCATGCTGCAGAGCCCGTCGGGCAGCGGGCCCGAGAGCTGGTTCTCGGATAGGTCCAGCCCGACCAGGCCCGACAACCGCCCGAGCCCTGGCGGGACCCGGCCCGTCAGGTAGTTTCTGTAGAGGGACAGGGTGAACAGAGTGGTCGAGTTCCCAATCGACTCGGGGATCGAGCCTACGAGACTGTTGTTGTAGAACTGCAACATACGGATCATCGGAAGTCGGCAGATGGAGTCCGGGATTCTCCCGACTAGCCTGTTGACCGAGATGTCAAGGTCCGTGAGCCCAGTAAGATTCCCGAGCTCGGGAGGGATCTCGCCCTCGAGCTGATTGTAGTAAAGCTCGAGCAGCTTCAGGTTCGGGAGCCGGCCAAGCTCTTTCGGTACGGGCCCGACGAGGTAGTTCCCGCTCAGCTCGAGGTCGACGAGCGAAGTCATGTTCCCGAGCGAGGGTGGGATCGTCCCGCCCAGCATGCACGTGGTGAGTATCATGGACTTGAGGCGCGTTAGGCTCGTCATGCTGTTCGGAAGTTGCCAGAGGTTCAGCCTCTGGTTGTTGTTGAGGTTCACCGACTCGAGATTCGTGAGGTTCGTCAGGGCCGACACGGGGAAGTCCCCAGAGAACCGGTTTTCAGAGAGGTCAAGGATTTGGAGGGTTTTTTGGAGCGGGGAGAGGTCGGGGAAGGGGCCCGTGAAGTAGGCCCGAGTGGCGTTGAACTCTCGGAGGTGGGAGCAGTTAGTGAGGCCGCGCGGGAATCTCGTGAAGGTGTTGCGGCCCAGACGGAGGATTTGGAGGGTCGGGAGGTAGGTGCATATGTCGTCCGGGAATCGGCCGGTGAGGAGCCAGCCAGAGATGTCGACTTGGATGATGTTTTCTTGGTGGTCGCAGGAGATGCCGGGGAGATTGCAGTAGTGTGTGTTGTTGTTGGTGTCGTTTAGTTGCCAGCTGGACAGCGAGTCGCCCCGAGTCGAGCTTTTCATGAGTTCGAAAAAACGTGATTGGGTTGAGCGGGAGGAATCGAGATGGAGGAGAAGGATGAGAAAGAGGATGAGATATAGAGCCATGAGTTTTTTGTTTTCCTTTTTTTTTTT